GGTTGTTTTTTGAATTTTAATAAAACCTCGGAAACTGGTGGTTTAACATTTCTTAAGTTTTTTTTAAGTGCGAAATTTGTTAAGTTTGTTTTTGTTAAAAGAAAAAAATTATCTCAAATAATTCTACCTTTTCGTGTTTTTCTAAAAATAATTTTACTTTTCATTGTTACTGAAAATAATTACACATTTCCGCATGTGTACGAGTTTTGGATCAAACGGCCACTTAACGAAATTTTTAGAAAATGCATGTTTTCGCAAATAAAAGAAAGGTGTGATTATATTAAGAAAATTTACTTTTTAATTTTTTTAATTTTATATTTAAAATTAATATTTTTAAAAATATAAAAGTACACTTTTGATAGAGATTTATCTAACGATTTACAAATTTTGTTTTCTGTTCTGGAAAAAATAATATTAAATCATCAAAAATAATTCAAAATATCGATCAAAAAAGAAATTACAATACAAAAAATTTTTAGTGAGTTATAAAATTTATTAGTGCTGTTTCGGAGTAAAAAATTATTGTACCATTTCCACAACTTTTGAATTACTATTTTGGAGAAAAAATTGTACTGAATTATCAAAAAACCAAAAATTAGGTAGTTCCATATTAGAAAAAATAATATAGGAAATAGAAGATTATCAATAAATATTTCGGAGTGTTTTTCATTAAAAAATTTGCAATACAACAGAAAATGTAGTGAGTTATAAAAATAAAATTTCAATTTTCAGAGAAAAAATTGTTGTGTTATTTTGAAAATTATTGTAATGTTGTTTCAAAAATATATATATAGAATTATCAAAAAATATTCACAAGTTTTGTAGTGCCATTTTTTAAGAAATAATAATATAGTACCAAAAAAATTGAAATACCGCTCAAAAAAATAATTGCAACTTACAAAAAAGGTAGTGAGTATGAAGTAAATAAATTTGCTCTCTTGTGTAGAATAATTTATTTTTTTAATTATTATCGATTATTGAAAAAACAGTTAGTTTCACTCTAAAAAACACTTAAAGTTGGTATTATTTTTCCAAAAAAAAAATTAAAAAATACATTTAAATTTAAAGTTAGAAATTATAGAAACGAGAAAAGAGAATTTACCTAAAATAATCCCACCTTGTATTTATTTTCAAAAAATAGGCATTTTTCAAAAATTCCATTAAGTAACCGTTAGTTTTTTAACGACGACCCAAAACTCGCACACATGCGGAAAAGTGGGATTATTTTAGGTGACAGTAAAAAATGATATTATTTTTAAAAGATCACGAAAAGGTTTGATTATTTGAGATATTGTTTTCTTGTTAAAACCTCGTAAACTCGTGGTTTGACATTTCACATTTGTTAGAGAAATAAGAGAGTCACAGATTAAATGTTTACATATTATATAAATTTATCATTTGTGAATATAAATTTTTTTGTTTTATTTATTTAAAAATAAATATTATTTTAAATAATCTCACCTTTCCGCGCTTTTTCAAAATTAATCTCAGTTTTCACTGTCACTAAAAATAATTCCACTTTTTTGCAATTTTGGGTCGCTATTAAAAAGTTAGTGGTCACTTAACAGAATTTTTAGAAAATATCTATTTTTTACAAATAAATAAATGGTGAGATTATTTTAGGTAAATTATTTATTTTTCATTTTTTAATTTTAAATGCATTTTTTAAATTTTAAAATAAATAATACCCAATTTAAGTGTTTTTCTGGAGTGAAACTAATTATTTTTTCAATAATCGATAATTTGGTAATATTTGAACAAAAACTTAAATTACACAATAAAACTAACTTATTTATTTCATAAATCACTACATTTTTTTTGTAAGTTGCAATTATTTTTCTTGAGCGGTACTTCAAATTATTTTTTGTTACTATGCCATTTTAAAAATGATACTACAAAACTTGTGAATATTTTTCGATAATTCTCTATAAATGTCTTTTGCAAAACAACATTACAACAGTTGTGAAAATAACACAATAATGTTTTTCTGAAATGAAACTTTTATTTTTATAACTCACTACATTTTTTGTCATATTGCAATTTTTTTATGAGCAATACTCCAACATGTTTATTGACAATCTTCTATTATCCGTATTATTTTTTCATTTCCACATGAGCAATATCCGTATTATCTTCTATTACCTAATTTGTGATTTTTTCGATAATTTAGTACAATTTTTTCCCCAAAATAATAATTCAAAAGTTGGGAAAACGGCACAATTTTTTTCTTCAAAACGGCTCTTATTAATTTTATAACTCACTATAATTTTTTGTATTTCTTTCTCGAACGATACTCTCAATTATTTTTCGATAATCCAATATTACATTTCCCCAAAAACCAAAAATAAAATTTATAAATTGTTATATTCTTTACAAAATATAGAGACAAATCTCTAACAATACCGCACTATTTTATTTTTTAAAAAATAAATTTAAAATTAAAAAAAAAAGTAAATTTGGCTAAAATAATCTCGTCTTTCATTTAATTGTGAAAAGCAAACATTTTGTAAAAATTTTATTAAGTGGCTGTTAGTTTTTTAATGGCGATCCAAAACTCGCACACATACAAAAATCTGAGATTATTTCTGATTATATTACAGTGAAAAGTGATATTATTTTTGAAAAAACGTAAGATTATTTAAGATAATTCTTCTTTTCTAAAACTATTTTGTCATCTTAATGAAGTCCACAAATAGTAAATAAGAAATCTGTCTTTCTAGTAGAAAAACATAGAAAAATTATTAAAATAGAAGTTCCATATTTTTAACGGCAAAATAGGATTAATGTCCTTTGCCAATTTGACATTATATCTTGGTATTTTGTAGTGTTTTTGTACTATATGCTGACATGGCACTGCAATTCCTATTTTTATCTTAAAAACATAGATATCTTATTTTGGTACTTTGTTCATGTTTTACTCTTAAATTAGTTTTTTTCTATAGTAAATTCGTAATTTTTTGTGAGCATTTAATTTTGTAGGCAAATTTTTAAGTGGTCTTTAGGTTCATACATATTTTATGAACCTTAATACTTGAAATAGTTATATGTAATGGGTCTTGTAAAAATGCGATGCATCTATAAGTTAATGAAAAATATGTAAAAAAATTTACATTTTATGTATAGACTTCAGGACTACTATAGCACAACTGTAGTTTGTGACTTGCACTTCTCCATTTGTTATGCTCGTTGAAGTGTGGAGTGTAGTAAGACAAGGTTGGTCATGAGGATTCAAACCGTGAAGACAAGAAAGAAAAAAAAGAGTTTTAGTTCTAACAAATTAGATTAAATTAACCAATTTTTCGGTTTTCATGTATGAACTGATTTTGTTTAAATGACTATAAATAATGGGTCAAAATTAAATTACAATGATTGTGGTAGTGCAATAATAACAGTACTATGGCATTGAGGGTGGTGGTGGAGTTTGCAGTGTGATAGCGGAATTGGCAGTGTAATGATGAAGCTCACAATGTGGCTGCGCCGGCGGCGGTAGCTTGGCGGCGGAGTTTGCAATGCGGCGGCAGAGTTGGCAGTGTGGGGGCAAAGGGCGGTAGTGTGGCATGGGGTTGGTAGTGTTGCAAAGGAGTTGGGAGTGTGGCAACAGAGTTGGTAGTGTCGCGATGACCGTGTGGCGGCGGAGTTGGCAGTGTAGTAGTAGTGGTAGTGTGGTGGCAGAAGGTGACAGTGTGGCGGTAGAGGGTATCAGATGATCTGGAGGTGCTCCGATACTCCGTTGGTAAAATTGACGGTTCTAACTCTCCTAACTATCCAAGTAAACCCCGCCCATCTCCTTCATCCCATGACATTGATTCCCAATGTCATAAAACCGGCCCGTTATTTATGATCTATTTTTTTCTTCTATATTTATCTTTATCTTTTTTTGAACACTAATAACCTTATTATAATGTAGTACTGTCTTCATACATTCTGAATATATCAAAACTCATAGAGTTACTGCCCGCACCAAGAATCGAACACGTAACCTCTCGTTTGAGAGAGTCACGATGACATTGGACTAAAGGTGTTATACTTCAGTTTTGCCACCCGAAAAAAATAAAACTAAGGGAAGGTGTTATAATGTAGTACTGTCTTCATATATTCTGAATATATTAAAACTCATAGAGTTACTGTCCGCACTAAGAATCGAACACGTAACCTCTCGTTTGAGAGAGTCACGATGACATTGGACTAAAGGTGTTATACTTCAGTTTTGCCACCCGAAAAAACAAAACTAAGGGAAGGTGTTATTAGGGGTGGACACGGGCCGGTCCGAGCCAAGTTTTGTATAAACCGGACTCGACTTGTTTTTATTAAAAATGGTCCGGGCCAAAACGGGTTTTCAAATTTTAAAATTGAAATCGGACCTAACCCGGCTTGTTTGAAACGGGCCGATTTCACGGGTCAACGGGTCCAAACTTATCATAATACTAAAATTCTCCAAAACAAATAGAAATTATAGAATAATGCCTTCAAAGGGTAATTGGATGGTGGATTATGAGGAACTGAGGTGTGAATAATTGCAGGCCACCCGTCCACAAACAAAACTGACGTAGAGGGATAAATGAAAATAAAACAATTGCATAAATGAAACACATCCACATAAATAAAACACGTCCTGGAAGGACCGAAAGATTGAAGGGCTTAGGCGGTATATCCGTATATTTACTAAAAATAATATTAAAAATAATATTGGGATTTAAAAAACGGTCCGATCCAAGTCCAATACAATTTTAAAATAGGGAACCGGATCGACCCTAAAATCTATAAAGACCGAACCGATCCAGACTGTTTTACATTTTTTAAAAGACGACCCGAACCTAACTCGAACCGAACCTGGCGGTCCGATTCAGACTCGCGGTTCCTGGACCCAATTGCCCATCCCAAGGTGTTATACGGAGTACTTCAGTTTTGCCACTTTTTCAGAAAAAAAATACTAAAAAATAAAACTAAGGGATTACGTATTATCCGGAGTACCTACTACCGAGTACTATAATCTCAGCTGCCACAGTCTCAGTCTCTCTGTTGTTTATCTCACCTTTCCTGCCGTCTCTAAAATCTCCTTCTCGAAAATGGCGGCTGCGGCGCACACTACCTTCTGGATACCCACCTCTTCCGCCGCCGCTTCCTCCAAAACCCTAAACCCTGTAACATCCGCCGCCCCTCGCAGCATCGGATTCATTTCTTCATCCAACTTTTCATCAAGACCGCTTCGTGCTCGAGCCCTTCCCTTCTTTGGCTCTGCCCTCGCCGCTCGCACGGTCTCCACTCCGGCCACCATCCCCGCCCCATCTCCCCTAGATTTCGAGACCTCCGTGTTTAACAAGGAGAAAATCACCCTCGCCGGCCAGGACGAGGTATATCTGCGTGTTTATATATTTGTCTATGTTGAAACGAATACCCGGCCTGATTGCTTAAATGCTGGTGATGCAGTACATTGTAAGAGGAGGGAGGGATTTGTTCAACCTGTTGCCGGATGCATTTAAAGGTATTAAACAGATTGGAGTGATTGGCTGGGGTTCACAGGTGAGATTTCTTTCATTCGTTCATTGTGCCTTATTTCAAATACGGAAACTCTTCATCAAAATGCATTGGTAGAAAAGATATTTCTGGTCTCCTTTTTTTTAGTGTATGGACATTACTCTTAAGTCAAAATTGCTATGTACTATTTGTTACAAAATGAGTGGTATTCTCTGATTTAAATCTTCGTCTCCATGTTTTAAGGAAAGCATTGCTTTTGAATTATTTGTTGTTATTTCTAGAGTAATGGGACTACCCGATACTTTAAATCTTTTTGTTGGTCTTGCATATTTGACAGGGACCTGCTCAGGCTCAAAACTTGAGGGACTCTCTTGCAGAAGCAAAATCAGATATTTTAGTCAAGGTGATTATGCTTCTATCCTCTTTGTGCTTTAACCAAGTGAAAATCAGAAAGATGAGAATTTAATAAAGTGAATGATGGGTAAAGGATAAGCTCAATGACATTCTAATTACTTCAGAATTAACAGGAAAATTTAAAAGCTTCACTTTCAAAAAATGTGACATTTCAATCTTAGTTCTTAATTAGCTTCACTTTGTTTGATAATTGATTACAAATAAGAGTTTGTTATTTTTTTTCTATCACCGATGTCGCGTGTACACACTCACTGACACTAATTATGTATTCCCATTCATTTTGCAGATCGGCTTAAGGAAGGGTTCTTCCTCCTGTGATGAGGCCAGGGCTGCTGGATTTACTGAAGAGAATGGAACCTTAGGGGATATATGGGAGACTGTCTCTGGCAGTGACCTTGTGCTGCTGTTAATTTCAGATTCGGCTCAGGTTCAGACTTCTACTTATCTTCGTCTGTTCACATATTTATTTTGTCATGTTCAACTGTTTGTCCTGAACACAAGATGTTTTTGCCGAATGTCCTGGACTCATTGTACTTGTTAATGCCAATACTCTAATTCTAAGTAATAGTAACAACTAACAACTAATCTGTATACTTCACTATTATGATATACTTTTCTTGAATGCCGAAGTTTAAGCTATCCTATAGTTTTGACATTTTTGTATTTAAGCATGTGTTTCAAAATAACTGATATCATCCTGCTGTTTCAAGATGACATGCCTGAATTGTATGATGCACTGCAGGCTGATAACTATGAAAAGGTATTTTCACACATGAAGCAAAATAGTATACTTGGGCTATCACACGGATTCCTTCTTGGCCATTTACAGTCAATGGGTCTTGACTTCCCTAAGAACATTAGTGTTATTGCTGTATGCCCCAAAGGAATGGGCCCATCTGTTAGAAGGCTGTATGTGCAAGGAAAAGAAGTCAATGGTGCTGGAATTAATTCAAGTTTTGCAGTCCACCAGGTCTTGGAAGTTTACTTCTCTCCTCCCTCTTATGTGTTCATTCACTTCATTGTCTTCTTGTTGTATGGCATGTGCCTTAACTCTAGTGTCATATGCAGGATATCGATGGAAGGGCCACTGATGTTGCCCTTGGGTGGTCAGTTGCCCTTGGTTCCCCTTTTACTTTTGCTACTACTCTAGAGCAGGAGTACAAAAGTGACATATTTGGGGAAAGAGGTTAGTGAATTCCTCTCTCAGTCATTTGAACTACTCGTATTACTTTTCATCATTGTCTAAATTTCTCCCCTCGTATTCTGAATAGGTATTTTACTTGGTGCTGTTCATGGGATAGTGGAATCACTTTTTAGAAGGTACACTGAACATGGAATGGATGAGGCGCTGGCCTATAAGAATACTGTGGAGTGTATAACTGGAATTGTTTCTAAGACCATATCAACCCAGGTTGGTTGTTGCTTTTAATTCATCAAGGGTCCGGTTGGAACCCATAGAAGGCTACAGGATAATAAAGGTGGAGAATGAGAACCAAATAAAATTTGAGGCATAACAAATGATAGACTCAAACTCAATTAAATTGTTTTAGAATACTGCCAAAAGATGATTTATAGACCGATTTGTGTACACTGTACACCAACACCAATCCAAAGCGATCACATGAATGGGGTCTAGGAGGGTAGATACCCCTCCTTACTTATGAAGGTAGAGAAGTACTAAGACAATTAATTTCATGGGTTAATTAATTTTAATTTTTTTTCAAAAAGAGAAATTAGTCGCATTATATTTTGCAATGTGTTTCCCAAGATTAAAACCCAACATAAGAAAATAATTTCTCTTAGCATTTTTCATTTCCATAACATATTCTATTATTCTGTGATCCACACACATCCTAAGTTTATATTACCGATTTCAACAAAAACCTTTGGCCCATACTATCTCAAGACTATTAAGATGTTTTCCATGAAACATATTGTTCATAGTGATATTGTTTTTCAATAGGGCATGTTGGCTGTGTACAACTCATTGACTGAGGATGGGAAGAGAGAATTTGAAAGGGCATATAGTGCTTCATATTACCCATGCATGGACATCTTGTATGAGTGCTATGAAGATGTAGCCTCGGGTAGTGAAATCCAGAGTGTTGTTCTGGCTGGGCGTCGCTTCTATGTAAGTTGTGTTTTTCCAGTTTCTGTGGCGGAACTAAACTTTAGATATGCTGTCCCAAGGGTTGGTGGCTAGTAGATGATGTACTTCCGAGCACACTGACATTGGTGTGTGAAGTGGATTTTTCCTTTCTCACGCTATATAAAAATCTTGTCTTGGTGGATAACACAGGAAAAAGAGGGTCTACCAGCTTTCCCAATGGGCAAAATTGATCAGACACGGATGTGGAAAGTTGGTCAGCGTGTCCGAGCAGTCCGACCAGCTGGCGATCTTGGTGTCTATATCCTTTCACTGCCGGTGTCTTTGTGGCATTGATGATGGCCCAAGTGAGTTCTATTTGTTTATATTCCAAAGTTAATTATACTTTCATCATACGCAATTACGCAGTTATAAAAGAAAAGGATGCCTATAGAAAAGCCTGATGGGAAAATTGCACTCTTAGCCCCCCCCAACCCCCCCATAATTTGTCATTCTTATAATCTAGGGTTTGTTCTTTTAGACTGAAATTTACAGGACTAAACCGAACTAAAGTACCAAACTACTGAACTAAAAATAAGTTGAGACAAACACCTCCCTAGCAGTCTTTTCAATTAGATATTAGTGTTTGTTATGGGTATTCTTGGCAGTATATATGATCTCCTACCATTAATACCAAACTGAGATTTGAAGAGGGTCTAATTCTTTCTGAATCATTACAAAACTAATGCCCAATATTTCCCCTTTGAACTCTGTGTTTGGCAACTATGAAAAGATTGAGATTCTGAGGAAGAAAGGGCACTCGTACTCAGAGATTATAAATGAGAGCGTGATAGAATCCGTTGATTCCCTGAATCCGTTCATGCATGCACGCGGAGTCTCATTCATGGTTGACAACTGCTCAACAACGGCTCGCCTGGGATCAAGGAAGTGGGCCCCACGCTTCGATTACATCCTCACACAGCAGGCTCTTGTGGGGGTAGATGAGGGTGCCCCTATCAACGGAGATCTCATCGGCAATTTCCTCTCAGACCCCGTCCATGGAGCGATCCAAGTTTGTGCCCGGTTGAGACCCACCGTGGATATATCCGTGCCCCCAGATGCTGATTTTGTTCGTCCCGAGTTGCGCCAGTCTTGAAAACCATCACACTAAGCAGGGGCAGGCCATGGATTGGTGATCTTTTTTCACCCATTATTTGAGGTATTTGTGATTCACGGGGCGATATATTAGGTTCTCAATACTATTGGGTTCGCTTGCACTATAATTGTTCTGTATGTTGTGGTGTGAGCCATCCAAATTCTATTCACATTTTTCAATTTCTCATTTGTAGTTCATTTTTTAGACTACGAACATTATTTATTTTCGATCATGTTTGTCATTATGAGACAGAAGAGTTAAGAATGGCTACTCTATGAAAATGAAGTTTAGATACTCCGTCTAGCCCATACTCGGACAAAATAAGGCAAGAAATTCAATCGAAAATGTCTACCGTTTATAACAAGTGACTCTCGTCAATCTAGAAACAATTGTTCTCAAGTAACTAAATTTCACCAAACTTTTTTAATGATTAACGAACACATCTTGCCGGTGAAACCAATTAAACTAAACAATCATTTATAACGACCGACACAAACAGCCAACAATCGACAGCCAACATCCAAACAAGGTCATGGTTTGGTTTCGGCACAAACCGAGATGATTACATACGTATTCAATTTGCATTTTAAAATGTAACAAAGTCTTTTATTTTGAAAAAATCAAAAGTATATTTAAATGTATATAAATAACTGGAACATAAATAATTTAATGTGAGAATTGCTTACGAACTTACTTTATATCTAGAGTATTTAAAGTTTAGAAAATAAGTACTACCTCCGTCCTTGAAGATTTGTCCAGTTTTGACTTTTTTCAGTCAACTGTTTTCAACCTTTGACCTATAATTAAATAAAATATATATTTATTTTAATTAAATAAAATAATATTTTGAAAATATTTGATATAATAAATCTAATAAAACTCTTTTTGTATCAATATCTAATATCATTTTTATTTAATTTGAGGTCAAAATTAACCACTTTTGATCAAAAAAAATTAAAAGTGGATAAGTACTTAGGGACGGAGGGAGTATGCACTTAAAGATAACAAAAAAATTTACCTTTACGAGATTATTAACCTATTCAAATATAATGCTCTTAAAATTATTAACATACATTCAGATTATTTCTAAAAATAATCACGCACAATGCATCTGCCACACCTAGGCAAGAATTCTAGATTATAGAAAGGTAAAATTTTATGGTGGAGCTAAGGTCGATCCTTGACCTACATATGAGTAAAATAAGTTTTTTATTACTATTTGAATAAGCATCTGCTTTTTAATAAAAAATTTAAAAAAGAATTTTTTATTTAAGAAGGTTTACAAAAACGGTATACAGTCAATGAACACCAAAGAGACACTCGAAAGAAAGTGTAACTCCGTATAAATTTAAAATTATGTTTTACTCCATTTTAAAATTTATTTAGGGGCTATTTGTTTCAGCCTCTTAATGGTTAGATGTCTGAATGGTTCAACACTTAATGATTCAGACTGTTTGTTTCAGTCTCTTAATGGTTCAGATGTCTGAATGGTTAAGAGATTTGCCTCTGAATAGTTAAGTATATATTATACAGAGTCTGAATGGTTAAAACCTCTTATCTGAATTGATCAGACATTTGCCTCTGAATAGTTAAGCAATATACTAGCTCTTAATGGTTCAGACCTCTTACTGGTTCAGCACTTAATGGTTCAGACCTTTTACTGGTTCAACACTTAATGGTTCAGACCTCTTACTGGTTCAGCACTTAATGGTTCAGACCTCTTACTGGTTCAGCACTTACCCATTCAGAAGTTACCAAACAGCCCTTAGACTAGAGCAATTTGTTGTGAGTTACGGAGTACATGCATGTTTAAGTTTGAATTTTTTTTAACGGGACATGAGAAAATCAAGATGACAAACCATTAACATTGACGTTTTTAATTGGCTACAAAAAAAATTTCAAAAAAAAAATGGCTACAAAATTTTGCTTACGCTTTAAATATTTGGGATTTGGTTTCGCTGACATCGCGCAAAGGTGATATATGGTGTCATTGCCGGCATTTAGGACCTATTTAGATCAGAGGTTAGCGTTTTGAAAAAAGTTATCTACGAGCATCGTTTAGCGTTAGCATTTTCAAAGTTAATCTACACTGTTAAAATTTTTTCCAAAACGCTAATGCTATTCGAAAACGTTATTCTCAAACAAGCTCTTACACAACACTTATTACAAAATGGATATTCATATCCTTACTCTTAAATAATCCATCGTCTCAAAACGAATGACAAGTTCACTACTCAAAATTCACGGAAATTTTTTGTTTATTTGTACATTTTCATCGATTATTTCATAAAATAAAATATTCTTGTTTATGAATTTTATTTTATACTTCTATATCAATTTTTAAATAATATGAACTAAAAACTTGAAACTTTATTTCATTTTCTATAATATGACAAACAATCTGAGATGAAAGGAATGTTATATTTGACCCGGGCCATTTTGTTTGTTCGGTATTTTATTTCTTTACGCGTATTTTTTCGAAGGGATAAATATTCAATTCAAAATTTAGAAAGAGTACTTTAAAAATTCAGGAACCACCAAGTCATTGGATATTTAACTTGTAGAATATTTGTTCTAATTTGTGAATATAATCATTATTACAACTCATCTTGACAAATAATTAACAATGGCTAACAGTTGTACGCAACATTTTTCTCACTTTAAACCAATGAGATATTGAGGTGTGCCCGTAGGTTAGTTTGGACTTTGACAAAAGGCATTTAATTTCGGCTTATATCAGTCCGATATCATTGTTTGATTTATTGATTGTTTGATGGATGCAAAAAAAAAAACTTAAAAAAATTAATTTGCGGCTTGCAATTTGCTTGACTACAATGTATAATGATTAGTTTTTGTATTTTAATAATATGTTAATGTTACAAACTAATTTTAAAATGTCAATGTTAACTTAAGTTTAGTTATGTTTTTTAAATATTGAATTTGAACGATGAAGTTATTATATTCTTATATGGGCAATTTCCCTAAATAGAACTAAAACATAATGACTTTCTCAAAATATAATCACATGTTTTTATTTCCCAATGTAGGACTATTGATGATTATCTATTAGTCATTATTCAACTAAATGTCCAACATTACTTAGACATTATTCTTCTCACTAATCATTATTAAGTCCTATTTAAGGAATAAAAAAGTTTAAGTCCTACATTGGAAAATGACTTATGTTTTAGTCCTATTCAGTGCAAATTTCACTTCTTATATTGGTTCCGAAGTCCACCTAAGAATTCAAGGAAATTTTTTAATAATTGGGTCAGGATGTAATTATTAATGTAATTAGTAATATATTTATCTTAGTAAATTAATCCGGCACCAACACCTAGACCCGAGGAGCGAGCCCCGAAGGTGGATTGATGGGTTGAATGTTGGTGATTTTAGCGTTATCTGCTATTTTGTGTGATTGAGTTTACTTAGATCGGACAAGAATTTGAATAGACGTTGTCAAACGAGTTAGGAGGTGGGGAGTGCACTCGTTCAACGATATTACTAATTCATAGCAGGGGTCCGAGGGCGGCAGCCTCTAGTAGCGGGGTCAAAGGGGCGGCAGCCCCTGGCGGGGTCCAAGGGGCAAATAACCTTGAACAGAATCCAACACTTTAAAGATTCGGACGTACGGATCAAACATCAAAATTGGCCCTAAATCGTAAAAAACTCTTCGCGCAAATGTTTGACTCTTAAGCGAACGTTCATAGGACTTTCATGTCTATCTCTATGCGCGAACATTTGCGTCTTTAATTTACGCGAACATTCATGTCCGATCTCCATTTTTCAACTCAACAAATAGAGTCTCGAAGGCATGGTTAAGAGTGGAATTCGAAGTGCTTTTTCCTGACTAACGTCTTATCCAATTAAAATATTTTAGTATACCCTAAAATAACTTTGATATGAAAGTATTTACGTGATTCGTTAAACTATCAAGTCATAACTTATCTGTTTCTTCATTCAACATTTTGTCAACGCTGCTTCGCAGCAATGAGCCTCCAAACAAATTTCTAACATTGAACCTATCCAAACCGAGAGGTAGGCTTAATGGGCTGGGGTGAGTGCGACTAGGGTTAGATACTTAGGGAAAGGTTTACCTAAGTTTACTTAGAGAAGTCTAATACGATCAGGAAGCTTAGTGAGCTATAAATACCGCCAAGGGGTTCAATTATAGAGAGTTCTTATCTTTCAATTTTTAAGCTAAGGTTTAATATTCTTAATTGTCTCTTACTCAATATTATTTTCGTAATTACTCGAATATTTGCGTGAGTTTAATAGTGAGTGGAATTAAATTTTACCATTAGTGCTTTTATTGAGAGACGAGTAAAAATATTCATGCGTGGTTTTAAGCATAGCAGGAAGAAAGACCAAGAACAGCATTAAGGCAAGCGCAACGACGACTGAATCATGCCGTTGTACCGCCTCTCTCTACGGAAGGGGTCAGGGAGAATTAGTCGCTCAGCCAACCCCAATAGAGAAAACCATGAAGAACATAGTGTTGCTGTTATCCCACGTTTTGGACAAACTGGATCGGATGTCGGGCCCGTCCACCGCGCTGATCCAGAATGATCCATTGGCTGTACAAAAGGAGTTGCGGACTTGCAGGCCCTCACTAGAATACTATATTGGGAGGAATTCAAGGCAGAGCGGTTGGTGTACTTTCAAAGTCTTGATGAGATTGAAGTTGAGAATGAGCGAATTAGGAAGTACAACGAGCAAACAGGCTCGAGCAGGTCCCACGGGGAATAGAATGTTCGGCCCAAGACGACGACCTGGCCACTTTATCCTGGAACGCCGATCAGCCGTATGATGTGGAGATCCCAGACCGAGGGGACGGGATAGGGCTAAGGTTGTCAAGACAGGAAAATGCCAAAGCCAAGATGCATGATGTGGCAGCTAAGATAACTTGGAGGACACAAATTTTGGTTACATAAAAATAGCTTGGAGAATCAAAAGGTTCAGATTTAATTTACTTCCATACATTTTTCATTTTTGTTCAATTCCAGATCAATTTAGATAAAATTCTGATATAAATCGGCATGAATAAGTTTTAGTTTCAGATATATTTTAGTTTAGATATATTTTGGTTTCGGATATTTTGCTTAGAATAGTGTTATGTTCCAATCAAATAATATTGAGTTCAATGATATGAAAATTAATTATACTTAAGTAAACATCTAGTGAAATGCATTTAATTTTATGCCTAAGAAATGCTCGAGTTCATTGATATTGAATGCAAATAGGTAAAGACTTAATGAAATTTTATAAAATTATACACACTTTTATAAAATTAAATTTA